TGATCCTTTTTTGTTCTCTTTATTCTATATAAAGTCCGTACAATGAATACACACAGGTATTTACAAAATAATAAGATTACATTTTACAATTTGTATAAGGCTACAAAACTGGTATATACTTTATTGCATTTCTTTCATAGTCTCATATATAAATGAAATTTCAAGAGGGCTTAACCATTGTTAGTTTTGTTAAATTTCAAGAGGGATTTAAATTAAAAACTTTTAAAAGATTCTTAATTTAGTTTATTGTTTTAGTTAATTTCAAAAGTGATTCCTTTAAAAGTAATTGTTCCATTATTTTTTTGTTCTCTTTAACAATGTGATAACAGTAACTATTTAAATTTTTCAGGTTATTATAAATTTCGACCGTGGTTAAAAACAAATGCGCCTTTAATTACACTTTTCATGAGAAATTCTGAATAATTTCTTTTATACCATAGCCTATGTATAACACAATAGCCTTGAATATTATAAGATGGAAGAAAAATTTATTTTACTTTTCTTTTTTGTAAGTAACTAGCATATTTATTGTCACTACACTAGAAAATAATTTAATATAGGGCAAATCTATTTCTTAATTTTCTATTTTAAATTAAGACAAAAACTTTAAAGAAGCTGCAAACTATAATAAAACGTTTAACATGCCGATTTTCTAAAAATAAATATGAATTTAAAATTTTGAGGTCTTATTCGGGAAAAATTGAGTACATACTAGACGCTAAAACTACATAAATAATCGTAGAATTCCATGAAAGCAACGAAAATTTCGATCCTTGTTAGGTACTCATAAACTTTTTCAATTTTAAGGAAAAAGTTTAAAATTGAAAAAGTTTATGAGTTAATTTGCAAAATTCTTTATCGTAGTTTATTAGATTTCGGTATAAATGTGATTTCCTGATTCCAAATTAAATAATCTGTACGGGAAAACTGTCATATTTCGCGAAATATGAGTCCAAAGTATTCCATTTGCTCCTTTTCTATTTTATTATGAATGACATATAATGAATACAAATAGTTCTACATAACATAGAGATCTGGAAAAAGAAGACATTCGACAAGTTTTTGTGAGAAGGTTTGGCATTTACACTTTTCGGCAAGGTTTGGTATTTGGACATTTCAGTAATGAAATAGTCGTTTGAAGAGATTTATAACTTTTCTTCAGGAAAATTTAGGTCAATCGATTCTAGGCGGTTTCCGTCCCAAAAATAAACTTAAAAAAAATAAAACTAAAGTTCAGTTTTTGATTCTAAATGAAGTGCATATATTTTTGAATTTAATTCACCATACTTAGCTCACGTGTTTCTTAAATTTTACAGTTTCCTGAAAAATATATTTCTTATAATGAATATTTTTCGTTTCAGATCTGAGGGCGATTCGGTGGGTAAACAGAAGTTTTCAAATTTGTAATTATAATTTTTACTTCCCTTTTGCAAAGTTCTCAACTGAGAAAATTATAGTGTAAGATTTATGTATATCTGCATTTACATATTCGCATCATAAACCTTTCGACATGTCATGCCAACTTTTAATTTTGGTAATGATAACCCTTGAGCTGCAGAATAGTATTTCTTTATTTAGAAGCTATTCCGTAATTAGGCAAAATAATTAATTTCTTTCTATTGAATATGCTGAACTACATTTTAAAAATCCTATTGCTATATGGAACCCAAGGTATATTGTGATTTCTGTCGCTCATAGAATTTAATTCATATATCGCTCAAATATCGGAAGCTAAAATTTAGTTCAAATATTGAGAATTTAACACTTCGCGTTTAAATGAATGCTATTAATCAATTTAATTTTTGCCAATTTCACAAGTTGTAAACATTTAATTTAAGTTTTTGTTTACATTTCTAAAACTGTTCAATACAAAATACTTTGTAAACGTGTTTGTTTGTATGCATCTGATATAAAAATCCTTGTGAATCAGGATTTTCTTGTTTTCTTTTCTTAAAAGAAGGACACACAAATAATAATTGTTACAAACAAGTTTATTTTTACTAAAATAATAATAATAACAATAATGTATGCTTTGTCTGAATTCATTATTATTTTTAGAAAAGAAAATATATTTAGGGTCCTACCATATGCCCACCGCTTCATAATATAAACAAAAGGAGAAATACTTGAAACTCGAAAACATACCATAGACTCTTATTTTTTTTGTTCCTCATTGTCTTCTGATCTATTTTCAGAATAAGGCTGTTTAGGTTGAAATAATAAAACTATTAGTTAAAAATAATAAAACTTGCTCTAATTTCTATTTTCTATATACATGGGATCTTGTAGCTTATTTTATTGAATATTTCAAATAGATTTAGTTGGATTAAAACCAAAAGACGGAATGTGTAGTGCAGTTGACCTGGAAATTTTGTATACTGAACAGAAATATATTTATACTTGAGTTATTGCGAGGTGTAATTGTTCTCAGATCAGCTTAACAATTGTTTTTGAATGGAATTATGATTTTTTCTTTTGCAAAAATGAAAACGCTATTTTAAAAATTAAAGTAAAACTTTTAGAAAAAATAACAAATTTAATGTTGTATATCCTTAAAGAATAAAGCAAGTAGGTCTTTTTATTATTGAAGATTACAATAGGATTATGATGAAATGCTGGTAGTGCAAAAAATTTTATTTTATTTTTTTTTTGGAAAATTTACCACAAATTTATTAAAAATTTACAGAAAAACAAATAAATATCAACAAAAAATATAAGTTTTCTGAAGACTATACACAAGTTGAAGAGTTGTGATTATTGGTATGCCTCTGCCCAGAAAGTAAACATAATGGAGCGGAGATTTACGGTACCGCCAAATCCTGTATGCCGAAATGTCTATAAAATAACATTATCCGTGATTCAAGTTAAATGCAGAAGTTAAAAAATTTCTGTTTTTCATGTTTACACAAATTTATGCACCTTGCAAGTTAAATCTAAATTTCTGAATCCTAGGTAGAATGTCTTAAAGTAGTATTTCGCTGCAATACCAGTTACGAAAAAATCAATACATTACATAAATTGTACAGCGCGAAATTTAACCAATCAAGCTGCTCGAAAAATAATTTTTCGAGAACTTATCGAAAACTATGCCTTATGTGTCACAGATACTTTCATAATAGCGAATAAAATTTATACCGTCTTATTTTAAGAATTTAATATAGAATTTTTCTTAATTAATTTCACTTATATTTTAAAATAATAATATAAAAAAAAACTTGAAAATATTATTTGTTTTCATTTCTAATCAATTTTTAATAAATCACGCCCAAAATAAATTTTACACCTTCAACGAATTACAAAGTGAATAAGCTAAGTTTTGCTACCTCCATTAAAATTTTTAATAAATAATTCAAATGTATTATAAATTTCTGAATTCTGTTGTAATATACCAAAATTGAATTAGGATATGAAGTCAATATTCGATTTAAGGTCTGAATTAATATGAGTTCTGATCCATACACTGTTCCCGAATATATATTTTTTAATTAAATGCAAATCGAGGCTATTATTATAAAAGAGAAAAATCGGCAATAGCTGAATAAATTTAATATTATTCAATACTTCAGAATTGTTATTTTAATTTCATGTGAATGTTATTAAAACTATGTAGCGTGTAATAAGGAATATCCTACATGTCGTGAGATCTAACTGTAGTCGTGTTAAATTACAGAAATTTTAGACAAAATCAACGGCAAATTTAGTCTGCGGATAATTTAAAAATCTAATTATTCTCAATGATTTATAACTTCATCTTCTAAACTTAATCTTAATAAAACCTTCATTTACGGTATCTTTACTTTAATTCTATGTTTTTGTTTTTCTAGCTTCCATAAATCGCTTTCATTATTGCCTATAACAACAGCATCGTTTGAAATATTAAAAACAACAGAATAAAAAATTAACTAAGCTTTTACATTTTATTGATTTTATATTTAAATTTCCAAGATTTTCAAAAATATTAAACTGGAAATCCTCATCACTTAATCTTTACAAAAATCGTATCCATCTAATATATAAAATGAATAGATTTTGTTGTATGGAGGAAACATAATTTATTTACCATCATCATTACAGTTTAAAAGTAGTGTGTAAGATAAACCGTGTAAGAAAAAAGTGGCTTAAAATCAATAAAATGTGGGCTGATAATTAACATAATCTTAAGAATTTGGACATAAAAAGTGTTTTTTATATCAAAAATAAATTCAGAAAGAAAAAGAAAAGAAATTCGTGATCTCTTTTAAATCACATACGACTTATTTTTTTTTTTTTTTTATTTTTTTTGAAGAATATTAGAAGTGTTAGAAGATTTTTTGGTAATAAATAAAAGGAGACGAAAGAAAAGATGATTTGTTTTTTCTATAGCAATATTTTTTAAAAGAGAAGTGTAAAAATTTTGTTTTTGACACGTTTTTCACTCATTGCTTCTCTATAGATTTCTTTAAAATATAAAAAAGCATAAGAACGTTGGAAAATAATAAGTTAGAATAGTAATTATGTTCTGAAAAATAAATATTGTAACTAGTGTACTGAAAGTGTCCTGTATAACAAGTGATTACAAATAAGAATTTCAAAATCCAATTGCCTTAGAAAATTTAAGTATTCTTGGCGTCCAAAGTGCTGTAATACGCTTTTAATACACAATTAAGAAAATTCACACTCTTATAACCTGAATTGTGCATTAGTACCGTATCACTGCATTTTGAAAACCAAGATATTCTTTGGTTTTTTTCCCTCTTTGCAGAAGAAACCTAAATTGAAAAGTTTCGTAAACAAAAAAGTGAAGTTGCCATATTTGCTGTCATTTATTTACTATGTTTTTAAAAAAATTATAAAATTTAGACATTACTTGAAATTTGCTCAGTTCCCAATGCTTTGCCAATTTCACAATAAAACCATTCCAAATTCATACTGTGAATAATAACGGATTAATTTAATATTTTGCAATTTCTTATGAATTTATATTAAAAATATTGAATAGAGAATTTTTCTCATAATCCTTGTTATTTTTCTGAGGCTTGAATGATTCTTTTCATAACAAATGAGTTTGGGAATGCCCTTGATGAAAGTTCAATGTTCTTTTTTATTTCTTGTTGACAAATTGATAATGCACAAAATATAATATGATCTGTACTGGATAAATAAGACATTGCTATCAATACGAAATTTTTTACATTTTTATATTCGCCGGAGCTATCGCATGTCTGTTAACATCAAAGTTTTTGATCTGCGAATACAGTAGATCTATAATAAGGCGAAAAATATGAAATTTTATAGAGAAACTTTAACCACTTATCACCTTTAGTTTCCTGCTTTTTTATTATTAGAAATTTATTGAACTGAAAGTAAAGTCTTCGCAATTACTAATTTCCATTTACAAGGCTATAAATAAAAGTAAAAGGAAAGAAATGCAAATGTATTGCAGCGCCATGCAATGAGAAAATAATTTTCAATTTTTATTTTAAATTTTCTAATCATCTTAAAGTCAACTTAGAGAAAATATAAAAAATACTTTTAAATTTATCAAATCATCAACTAATTTAAGCTTCAAAAAGATCAGTGCGCGCGGTTCAGTTAATCAAAAAACAAAAATTTCATAACGAAACAAAAAATTAAAGGTTCTTACATTATTAAATTTTTTTTCTCTTTTTAAATAGCATCACTTAAGGTGTTAATAACTAATTTCACTGTTATAATACCGCCGCGCTTTATGATAATCAAAAAAAAAAATATTTAAATAAAATATAAGAGTGGAAAACATAAGGGTTCAATTTTGAAAACTGAATAAAATTTAATTATGAATTTTTAAACATACACTCGTTTTAAGAGAAAAGCGTTGAATTTTAAACTGATTTTATTAAATTATTAAATTAGATGCACGGCTTAAATCACCCATAATATTTCTTAAAAAGAAAACTCTAATGATTTGCCGCCCATTTGAATTCGACACGCTTTGTATTAAAAATGTTATGATGATATAGGACGAAAAAAAAAATAAAAATGACCAAAATGTTGATGTAAGACTATAGTAAGACGATTATGGACGTTTTGGTTGAAGGGAAGTCATTTCTGAAGTGTCAGAAATTTTGTTAATTTAATTTTTAAAAAGTGAGTTTTTTTTTTACGAATTTATGCAAATTCAAAAGAAAAATCTAATAATTTTTATTTTAATGGAAAAATTATACAACCATTATAATAGTATATGCATAGATATTTAAAAAGAATTGATATGTTAAAATTATTACGTGGTTTGTGAGTCTTGTATATGTGCATAAAAATGTGTATCTATAAAATACAAGTTGAGGTACTTCACGTCATATTTAATATTGAAATTAGGTCAGCTTAAGGTAAAAAGTGCATTCAAAGTAACAGTATTATTAAGAGATTAAGCAAATCTATAAACAGTCGGATCCTTATATAAGAAACTGGAATAAAAGCAAAACTCTTTTAACTTTATAACATGCAGTCTTATAAACACATTGGTTGTAAGTAAAAATCTATACGTACATTAGTACGTACATTAGTACATTAGTATTTCGATGTGCGTAGAAGCGGATTCGACGTACATATGTATATCATATGATCGAATAGCAGAATAATATTGAGTAATTCACTCACAAATGTAATGTTATTTTATACGAGATCGAGTGCTTTGTAATTTGAATTCTTTTTTAATATTAGTATTTTACTTAAGCTCAAGTTAATACAAAAACGGCAGAATTTTGTGTCGTTAACTGAAAAAAAAAACCGTTTTATTCCAATTTTTTTATATTAAACATAACGTTTTTAGCAATTACGTTAGGAACTAAAACGCAAACTGCGTTATGACATACTCGAAACCCGTGTTTTTGAAAATTTAGTTACAACTTTTCTAACAATAAGTATACTTTTACGCGCAGTTTAGTTTAATAAGAAATGTGAAGAAAATACTGGTTCCGGGTAGCTGCCATACAACTTCAAAATCTATTTGAGTATATCGCAGAAACTATTAAAGCTGTAATGTTGAAATTTCACACAACTGAATATACTTGTATGGCCATTGTGTTTCCTAAAAGTCGTTGAAATTGCTTGGCCATTGCTGTTAGCTGTCATACAACTTTAAAAGTTATTTGGCTCTATCTCAGTAACTGTTACAATTGTGGTATTGAAATTTCACACAAGTGAATATATTAGTAGGGCCAATGTGTTTGATAAAATTCGTTAAAACTGTTTGGCTCTTTCTTGTAGCTGCCATGCAACTCCAATAGTTGTTTGGCGATATCTTAGAAAATATTGAAAACACAGTACTGAAATTTTGCATAAATTAATATAGCAACTTAAAGTCTGTCCCATTGTCAGCTATATTTATTCACGCATAGGATAACAAATTCGTACGGGTATCATAGAGTTGACACGGTCAACTCTATTTTTTCTCGTTTTTTTAATTAACTTTTCTGATATTGAAACAATACCGCTATAGAAAATATAGATGTTTCATTTTGTAGATTGTTTGTTTTTGATTCAAATAAAGGTCGTAATTTTATTCACCGCTCATACACAGCTGAAAACTTTATACTTAGCTGGAAATTTTATTCAGCGGTTCTTCAGGTCTTAATATTTTCAATTTTCTTTTAATTAGTTTTAAAATCGGTCATAAATTCAGTTATGTTATGCGATTTATTTCTTACGTGTCATACCCTAATAGTGAAATATATCCAGTCGAGCTAAATTACATATGTATATTTTGTAAAGTACCATATCTGATTACAGTCACAATACTGAAATAAATTGCAGGATCTAATCCTAAATTAGCTTCGCTTATAGCATTCGTTTATCAAAAATTTGTGGCCATATCACTTTAGAATGTCTAATATTTTTTATAAAAATCAAATACTTCTTTTTATAATTTCTTTAAAATAATCATATTTTTTATTAATCAAAATTAAAATTCTATAAGTATACTATTCTATAAAATACTTAAAACTTAGTGTTTATAAACAATTAATTTTCATTTTAATACACTTAAAATATTTCTTTCATAATTTTTTTGCTATCTACTATTTTTTAATATCATTTTTTTCAATTTCAAATTTTGTATAATACAAAACTCTAAATTTTATTAACAGATTCTCTAAAATCTATTGAGAATTTCAAACTTTTAAAATTTTATACACAATTTCGATTAGTTCAATTAATTTAAAATATACTAAAAAAAAAAAATAAAAAAATTATAACACTTAAAAATCAGTGTTAGCTTTCAAAATTTATAAAATTGAATTTTTATTTTTATACAATTATAATTTTGTGTTACAGAATACAGGGTCATCAAAATCTAATTTTGTTAAATGAGAATACAACAATACCTATATTAAACTTTGAAAATATATTTTTGTCTCGGAAACTATAGTATTGTTTACATATGTATCAAAATCTAAGATTAAAGTGTGGTGATTACCTTACGTTACGTCAAAATTTAAAAATTTGGTACGAAAATTGGAACCCAAATAAAAACCCGCTATAATCGCCGCGAAAAACTTTCGTAAAAAATTAATTGTCGCTATTTTACTTTTATAAAATCTGACAGTAAATCTGTGATAAGAAAGTTATTTCTGTAATTAGCCGTTAGGCAATGTCTGACATCAAACAGTAATACGACTCTCATTACACTCAGATTTAATCTTAGATTTTGTGCTTCATTACGTAAACAGTTCCTAAGACTTATGCATACTTCAAAGTATTATATTTTGGACATCATATACCAAACTAAATACATAAGCCTAGTAAATAGAAGGTTTATAGTTAAAAGATGTGTAGTTTATGCTATTATGTTATTTGTGCCATTAAACGGCTTCACGTTTTTATACTTGCAATTGATGTCAAATCTAAAATATTTTAATTAATCATAAGTAAGTTTATTCATACATTTTAGAATTTCGATGGAAAACAGTAGATCTCATCCAAATAATCGAATCACTAAGTTGTGACGATATTATTATATCATAAATCCCAAAAATTTTATTGTAGACACGAATTATTTGTATAAACTGGTTTGTGTTTATAATAACAATATCGAACTATTTTCGATAAATATCATTGTCATTTAGTTATTCGATATTCAGAATAAGCTCCAGCATTTCATTTACAAATTACTTCAAACTGCTTCAGAGTATGTATATTAGTTTACTCTCAAACGAATCGGTTAACCATACATCAACTTAATTTAATTTAAATATTCTAATTTTAATTCAATAAAATTAAAATATTCTGGTTCTCATAATTCCTGACAAATACTAAGTTCAAACTATATTCTTAATACAAAATAACAAACGTTCAACGCTTGTTTAAATTTTTAACCATTATAATACCATTATATTTCAATTGTATACACCTTGTATGTAATTCAAATTTAAAAAAAAAAAAGAATAATTTTAATAAGAAAAAATTGTGTAAATAATTGCACATATATAAATAAATTTTAATTGCTTAAAATATTTTAATTATCTTTATAATTTAATTTAATTATCACCACCTAAAATAGCTGATATCGTAAAATTATTTCTTTTCGATGGTAATTTAACAATTAAATCATCATCGCTAACAATTTCATCACTATTTAATTTATCATTATTACCATTATTATTATTATTTTGTATAACTAATGATGATGTTGATGATGGTGAACCAGTTATTAGTATTGATTTTGTTGGTGTTACAGCTGCTGTTGTTGTTCTTGGTGATGTTGAATTATTAACAATATCAATAACTGAAGGTGCAATATCAGCTGGTGCTGGTGAATTACCATTTAATAAATTATGATTTAAATGATTATTATCATGTTCATCATCATTATCATCATTATGAATGTTAAGATCATCGTGATTTTCAATATCAACATTAATTGGTGGTGAATAATAACCTGGTAAATTTTGTTCAATTGTTGTTGCTAATGACATAGATGATGTTGATGATGATGATGCAACAAAAGATGAAGTTGATGATGGCGATGATGATAATGATGGTGCTATTGCTGATGAATAAAATTGACTAGTTAAGTTATTATTATTTCGTTGATTTCCAATTGTTACTGCAATTGGTAATGATGATGATGTTATTCCTGTTTGTGAATATCCTAATCCAGCTGGTGTTACTGCTGTTGGATTACGTCCAAAATATGAACATGCCAAATCCATTAATGATGGATTAATTAAATTTTGCATATTCTTTTGTAAATGTTGCATTAATAATTCATTATTCCTAATTGATTGATGATGATGGTGATGATGATGTGAATGTGGATTATGATGATGAAAATGATGATTATTTTGTTGATGCTGCAATTGATGTTGATGATTTAATAAATTTTGATGATTTTGTTGCTGTTGTTGTTGTTGTTGGTGTATTGTATAATTTCCTCTAAAATTTTCTGCTGGATTTGGTATTATACTTGGTGAACTTGTACCACTTGAACCAGAACAACTAATTAATGATGAAAATGATTGTGTTCGTTCATCACGATCATCTAATGATGATGATGTTGAACATGCTGAACTATTTGAACGCATACGTTTAATTAATGGACTGTCATTGTCATCAGAACGATTTTCATGATCATTTATAAAATGATCATTATTTGATTTGATCGGTGATATTTCTGATGCTGATGATGATGATGAAGATGATAATGTTGTTAATGATGATTGTTGTTGTTGTTGGTGCTGCTGTTGTTGTTGCTGTTGTTGTTGATTATGATTATCTAAAGATGGTGAAGATGCCATTTTTCTTTTACATCTTGATTGTCCAGTTTCACGAAAACCTTTTGCAAATGGATTATTATCGATTTTAAGTTTTGTGATGCGATCATTCTGTAATTAAAAATCGTATAAAACAGAAATAAATAAAAAATAATAAAATAAAGTAAAAACATGTTTTTTTTTCACAGTGTTGGAATTTATTTTTTGAATTTAATTCGATTTTTATTAAGTATTAAACGAAGTAATCAATTATTAATTGCCTTGTTATATTCAATTTTGCGGTTTCAGTTCTTCTATACAACTGTTAACTGCATATGTACATAAAAACCTGATAAGATTGGCATTTTCTTGTTAAGATTTCGTGTTATTTTATTGGACACAGAAAATCTTGAAAAGAATTTAATAGAAATGTGTTAAAAACGATTTCAAAATGGTTGTAAAAAAACACAATTCGTATTTCATTTAAAAAATTTAAAATTTTAATGAATTTTAAGAAATGAGCATTTCATCTTTTTTTGTATTCTTTTGATTAATGGATAAATCTATGAGAACATTATTTAACGCAGTGGCAATTTTTATATGATGACATGGTGTAGTAGTGCATTTGTTTAACATTAAGAATTCGAATATGAAATTTCGAAATAAATACACGTTTTAACATACACCATTTACACATGAGAGTTACCAATAGGTAATATGAAAACATCATGAGTTTTTATGATTAACACACCATTTTTATGATTAAATATTCAGATTTTCTTCTCTATGCAATGCAATATGAATTTTATCAATATTGCATTGTTAAAAAAGGCACGAGTTTTCTATATGAAAATTATTTTCAGAATTTTTAATGTTTCCGCTATATAAAATTCCTTTTATTTTATAATTATATAGAATATTATAAAACTTACATTTCTTCACGGAATTTATGCAAAAATTCTAAAGACTTTCACATTAATTGTAACAAAACTGTATATACACATGACATTGGTAATTCATTGAACATACTATTTCACTTATGATGAACATTCTTGCACATATAACGAACAACATATTTGAATGGTGAATATTTCCTATGTAGTCTTGGTATTCAAAAATGTGTTTAAACAGAACAATTTTTAAATGTGAACTTATTCTCTATGAATAAAACCTGTTTGTAGTGTTCAGTTTTCCACGTAACAAATTGAAATATTGGTAGAAAGAGTTATGCAAATAAAATGAGTTAGAAATTTCAAATAATTGAAATTGATTTGAAAAAAAAAAATCGTGGTTTTAATAAAAAATTTTAACGAAACGAGGAAATAGAGGAAGAAATTCAATTACTGTTTGTTTGTGATTGTGTTTCTAATTTTTTTTCCGTTTGTTTGTGATTCTGTGTTCTATATAACATAAAATATATTGATAGAATACTTAGCACGTGTTCTTAAAGATTAACCGCAAAAAAAACACCTGTTTGCGTGGGATGATTTTAAAAATTAAAAAACGAGAAGAGTCAGAGTTCAATATTCAATATTCAAGTTAAGAAACTATAGTAAGAGGAAAAAATCAATATGTTTGCGAAAAAGTCATGTTTCGAAATTCGAATAATTTAAATATTTTTCGATATTATAAATTTGACTGGATATAAAAATAGTAGGTTTAACTAAACCTGTTCAAAAACTCCAATGCCAATCTAGAGAAGATAACTAAACAATGATGTTCAAAATTCCATTCGCAAGTGAAATTATTCATGAGAACTTTGATACGCGATTAAATTTCGAACCCGAAATTTTACTCCAACATTTCAATACCATAATTTTTTCCAAATACAAAACTAACCTGATAAGCTGTCACAGCCACAAATTCAGTCTCTGGAAATACAAATGGTTGTTGTGGTGCCCATGGTATTTGTGTTGGATCAGATGTACGAATAATATGTATTCTTGGTTGATATTTATGCATACTAGTTAAAACAACCTGTAATTACAAAAAGTAAAAAGAGTTTATTAAAAAAATTAATTTTAAATATAATTTTAATTTTCTTTGAGCTTAAAATTGCAAATAGGCTTATGGTACCTTTATAGAAATAAATTGGTGTATATTTAAATAAATCAGAAATTTTGTGAACAGAATTGAAATACTAAATACCACATAACTGTGACTCAAGGATTTTATATTATTCGACGGCTTAATTTTAGTTTTAATTTTAATTTACAGGCAAGTTTTCTTATTTGTTTTTTATCAATAGTACTATCTGCACTTTGTACATACTATCATAGTTTAAGACTAGCATATAATTGTAAATAATAATAGTATGATAATAAAATGCGGATTAGATTTGTAAATGTGTGAATTCTTATAACAAATTTATTATTGTATTGCTAAATTGTAGTTTAAAATTCACAATGCCTTTTCGCGAGGGCTTTAAAAGAGAAAAATAACGTTTTGACTGAATACCACGAACAACATATTATTTGAATGGTAAATGTATCCGTATCTTCGCATTCAAAAATGTGTTCAAACTTGTTCTCTATAAAAAAAATCCTTATGCATATATTCGAAAGAATTTTTATGATCTGAAGAAGCTATCGCCATACAGTAGAACTAAAATGCCTATTAGACAAAGATTTACAGATTTTCTAAAACATCCTATGCCAATCGAACAACCCGGAAACCAAAATATTTTTTTTTTTTGCCTTTTGTAAATAACTGCACTTCTACATTTTGTGATATCAAAAATTTTCAAGAGACAAGCCAATAATGCCATCCGAAACAGAAATACAAAAATACTCAACATCTTGGATACAAAAAATTTAGGAAAAAATTCATGTCAATTTATCAAATTTCTATATATATAAATCCTTAAAGGTACTCTCAAAATATTACTTTAACCTTATAATAATAATTACACACACATTTTACTCCCTCCATATTTTGTATATGCAAGGCGTTTCATCAAATATTTGTTTTTTCTTGTTGTTTCTTCTATTATTCATTGAAATCATTTGGAATCAATCAATTTTATTAACATGTTTCCAAAAAAACAAATATCATTTTTCAAAAAATGTTATTTTAATCATTTGTAAGGCAAATTTTTCCAAAGACAAATTGATTTGGACAAGTTGAGATTGCAACCAATTCCAAAAAGAAACAACAATCAGAAAATATCAGTAAAAAGGCAGAGTTTTTGTTTTTTTGTCTTTTCCTGACTATTTTGTTGTATAAACAAGATAACATCTTTTTTTTTAAAAAAAAAAAAGAGCCCCGATTTTTATTAATTTTTTTCCAGTTTTTAAATTAATCTTGCTATTTTGCTAACTTGAAATGACTTAAATCAATAAAAGAAAGAAAAGAATATACAAAAATTATTAATGAAATACAAAAAAGAAAACAAAAATTCTTAAAGTCTAGTCATCACACATAAAAACCATAAAATCATCGAGATCATTTTGAAATCAGAGAAAAAGGACATAAAAATTAGGTACATGTAGGCACTCGAAATAGATTACATAAAGTGGCCATCTACAGTTTATGAGCCCTCTTGTTTTTGATTTGATTGACAGGTTTGGGTTATAAAGAAAACAATCATCTATCTATAAATTGAATAAATCATTATTCAATCAATACACACACATTTTCATATGCACATATTTAGAACAGAACAGACGCCAATATAAGCTTAAATACACCAGTTAATTTATTCCTTAGGGAACTAAAAAACGAAATAAAAAAAATACAAGTAGTTGAACAGAATAATTTCTTAAAACATTTACAGTCAGTTCAAGAATGAAAAAAGGATGCAGTAATTAATATCCTTCAAAAACAAGGATAAGGAAAAAATTTTTTTTTTTTTTTTTTTGTAAATTGAAGTGCCAATATTATTGATGTCTTTTATTTGATTAAAAGATATAGTAAAGTGAATTTTAACACAGAAATCATGAATTAGATAAAGAAAATATTGGAATAATTTTACATTACAAATTGAATTCGAAATTCTTTAGAACAGGTGAAAATTTTGATTTCCAATTTGTAAGGGTACTAATTACGTTTTAAAGACTAAGCGTGGTTTGGCAATGCTTGCTTTTTTTCGTGACTCAACAATAATAAAAATTTTCTGATTCAATAATCGAATTTAAAATGTCTTCCCTGCATAAATTGTGGGTAATAATTTTACTACCCAAAGTAAGGGTAATTAAGGTCTAAAAAGAGTAGAGGATAAAATAAATTCTGAAGTCTCATTGTGTATTTTTATTTGCATAATGAAACTCAACAAATATTAAAATTTATAAAAATACACAACAAAAAAAAAAATTAATTATTAATAATAATTACTGCTATAACAATATTATACTTACATGACCATTACTATCCAATGTATTATTTGTTAATTTAACTTTATTAAATAATATTGGTTGAGCTTGCCAATGTGATCCAGTTGCTGGACTATCCGGATGTAAATACATTCTTTGTGGTGATTGTGGTTCAGCACCACCAGCTGGTACCCATTGTGAACCAGAAAATTTAAAACGACAATCACCAATTGGTACCATTTCTAATAGAACACAATAATTAACATCATCTTCTAAACCCGATAATGATAATCTCATTGATGGAAACATTCGTCTATAAATAAAAAAAATGAAAAAAAAAAGAATATTTTAATTTTGTGTGGTTAAAAAAATAAAAATTTTGAAAAATTAATTATAAAATTACTAAAGTTAATTGACCTTTTACGTAAAAGGTTTACAATAAATCTTGCATTTTAAAGTCTTACAAAGTTTAGATTATATGGACAGTCAAGTATCAATTTTCGTAACATATTACCGGCAGGAAATTTGCCAACTTTTTCAAACTGGTTTAATAAATTATAATATTTCCTCCAAATCCGATTATTTGTAATTCGCAAATTAGTATTCTCTACTCTTTAACAGTGTAAAAATGTTTATTGTAGAGATCTTTGAAAACCAAAAATGACTTTAATGAAGTATTCTAGATATTATATAAGAAAATTTTAGCAATATTCGATTTTTATTCATAATTATTGTAAAATGCTACTTTAAAACAGTTCTGGGGCTATTATTCTGATTAACAGTTTCTGATTAACAGTCAATCTGATTAACAGTTTTGGGGCTATTATTATAGAGATTTTCATAAGCGTAATACTGCAAAAACAAAACGTGGTAAATATGCAACATATTTTTATCTAGTTTAAAAAATCACAATAGTTCATATGATTTAATTGCGCTATACTCATAATAACTTTGCTATATTGCGAAAATTTAGCATTGCATATATGAGCATAAAATAGAACTGCATTTTTACAATATATCGCCATATACTGCCTTTATGAAAAGACCTTATATCTTCTTAAATTATTCAATAATCTCTAAATTGGCATTCAAAAGTACAATAGGAATAATTTATTAATTGTTTCAACAGCTATTTGGACATGCTTATTATTTAAGAATTAGAACATGCTTATTATGAATCTAATCGGCACTATATGAATTACAACAATTCTAACAGAATACACAAAAATATGAAATAATCAGAACATTATGGGTTGAAAAACATTTTAAAGAGTTCAAAAGTGGAATGACCAAATTACAATATAGACCAAATTGAATTAGTAATGAAAATATTTTGAATAAGAAAAGACTACTACTATAACTAAATAGAATTTAAGACCTATTAATAATTTTCATTATATTTTTTAAACAAAAGAGTTACGATGAGGTCCTGTAGTGCTCTTCATAAAATACTCTCACAAAAAGAAACAAAATGATTTTAATTATTTTCTTTATATTGAAAATATTTTGATATTTTGATACTTTTTATTCCCATTATAATATTATTGTCGTTTCCAAAAGAAAATCACTAATTAAAAACACCATTAAATTAATTCATAATCTAAAAACAACAACAACAAAAATAAAAATCTTATCGCTGATATTATTTAAATATCAACACCTATGGTTTTTCTTTATGATTTCTACTATTATTTCATTTTTGTCTCGATATAAAAGACAAGTAAATCACTACTCGCTCCTCTCAAGAAGAAAATTCATATAGATTCTAGTGCTGATGCTGAAACCATCTGACTTGAAATCAATACAATACAACTACTGTCATTTCAATAATCATAATCATTATTGTTATTTAAAATTCTTTAAACTAATAAATTTCTCAACAAAATTTTCAGTATAGCATGCAATAGTAATAAAAACCATATAGAAATGAGAGGAAAATAAAAGAAGATCCTCATAAATTAAATTTTCTTTGTTTCTTTGATTATGTCTGGGATGACCTTTTATGATTTTTTTAACAAAAACAAAAAAATCATCATCATATTGGGTATTTAAATTTAGTTAAAAGTTACAAAAGTATAACACCATATTACAAAAAGAATGAATAAATAATTCTAATATTGCATAAGAAGATATCAAAAACACAATATGAGATCAAAATGATTTTTTTGTTTTCAAAAGTAGTAGACTTCATAGGCTAAACAATATGTAGCATAATGATCGTTATACCAATTTGCTTCCACTTGTGACTTGGCATGTACATATAGGAAAACATCAATAGAAATATTTGTATTTATGTATGTAGTACCAAAAAAAATCTCTGAGAAATTCACAGGTTTTTATGTGATCTTTATTTTTTAACTCTTCTGTGATTTTGTTCTTGTTTTCTTTCACAACATTATATACATACAGATATAGGATACTTAAGGCCAGAGACATAAATATTATTGTACTCTTGTTGAGTTATGAATAGTTTATGAATATGAGAATATAATGTAGAAGTTGAAAATATAATAATAATAACAATAATACGAGTATAATGGGCTACCAAACAAATTAATATAAGAATACAAAAAAAAACAAAAAAGAATCACAAAGAAGTCACACAAAAACTAAAAAAAAAAAATGTAATTTTCAAAAAATTTTATGTTCCCGAAAATTTTCAAAAAATAATAACAAAACAAAATTGAAACCATCAGAAAGAAGGTCCGAAATCGTAAAAATAAAAATTATGAAAAAAAAAATAAAAAAAAATCTTACAAGTTGTTCCCGTAAACAATAACAAGTAAAATAAAAAACTTAAAACAAATCAAAAAGACAACCACTAAAAAGGGAACCTTTAAATTAACAGAGGAAAAAAAACGGTTTATTGGCGCCAGCACCTCCTGCTGACAGATTTTTTTACTCTTTTGACTTTTGCCCTTTTTTTTATTTTCTTTTTCTTGGGTTTTTATTCTTTTTTTTTTTTAAAATGACAAGTTGACGGAATATTTTTCAATATAAATGCAAGAATAACAGCAGCAAATAACATCAACATCAGCAGCAACAGCAGCAATAATAACAGCAGTAAAACAATAAAGAGAACAGTACTGTTATAACAATATACGCTTGCATCTACAGAACACAGATATATGCACATTATAAACAGTGAGTAATAAGATTATCCATAAACTATACGTAAATGAGTGCATATAATATTATCAAAACACAATAATAAGAGCGTGATTATAAGGGAAGAGAAAAAGTTTTAAAACAACTTTTATAACATAAAAATGAGTAGAAGAGTAAAAATATATAACAAAAATTAAAAATGGCTAATAAAATTAATTTTTTTCATTTATAAATTTTTTGAATTAGTTTGTATCTTGTATGTACTCGTACTTTAGTTCAGTTCAGTCATATACAGACGAATCCCACACTTATTTAAAACTGTTTTGTAAAAAAGATCTAAATGTGCAGCTAAATTAATAATGTTCTACCAAATCTTGGCTCAAATTGGAGTTAAGATTTTAAACAACGACTCTCTTTCTTTCCAGCATACATATTTAAAAGTATGTTCATATATTGAGTTGGAGGCGAAACTGTCGAATAAATAAGATAGAATCGAATAATTGTATAGTTACAAATTTCTAATTATTCGAATTAAATAAATGAGTCAAAAAATAAAGCTAAACACACTTTATCTACTTCCAAACACATTGTGCTGAATAAGTCAAACAAGATGATGCTAGATCTGCATTCAAGTGTCCTTATATTTAAATAGCTTTTGCAATAAAGAATTAATACGATATCTTATTGAAACGACTTTCAAAAACACTATAATCATATCTTATACTATAGCCAATTTAATTTGGGTATATATAGTGGTAATAAATAAAAGTTATTCAAACTGATGAGTAAATGATTCAAAAGTAAAAACCTTTTCGAAACTAAAAACTATTGATCAAATCGTCGATTAATAGCACCTACCTTTTTTAGCAGATTCAATTTTCCAAAATAGAATTGTGTTAAATTATTTATATGGAACTACTGCATTCTATTTACTTTTAAATTTGCATATTTAAATAACAAATGGAGGACAATGTGCTTGGAAGACTGATTTTTATAAATTGAAACAAATTAATTTCGCATACAAATTTTAACAATGACAAAAAGATCTTCAAAGCCATGAAAAAGATTCAGAGCCATGTCTAATTTACTTTCCACCCAGAGAAATTCAGTCTTTTTAAGAGAATTATTTTTAGTAATTAAACTTTACTCTATTATTTCCTTATATCATGCTTACATGTTTAATTTTTTCAAGGTTTTACTGTAATAACAATAATGGTGATATTAATGCTACTAAAACATTTTCGTACATACATATACTTCCTGTGAGGCATAATTACAGATAAAATCATCCGTGTTTCATGTACATGTTAATTTTGTTAACTGTTTATTTAACAAAATGTTAAATGTCACAAAAAAGAAAAGGATTTCATAACTTGCTTTTTTTTATACAGTTTCATTTCAACTTGTTGTAAATGTTAAAAAATAATTGAAATGATAAATTTAGCGTATTCACAAATGCATTCTTCTGCTTAAATTAATGATAGAAAACTAAGAACAAGCAGATACAGAAATATAAACATGAGTTCACATCAAATTTAATATTTTTACATAATATTTTAGCATAAGTTAACTCTTTTACATGCATCTGCATTTGTGTGTTATGTGGGCATTTAATTTGTGTAAAACATAAGTCAAATACACCACACATAAAACATGTACAAACATAAAATTTATTGTACATAAAATTGAAACATTTTACCAATATTAAAATTATTAATTTTTGACATTGACAGCTCATGTACTTGTACCTAATCAAACTGAGAAAATTTTGTTTAAATTAAGAGACGAAAAATATCGATGATTGATGAAATTAATCATTATAAATGGTCGTATATATGTATATGTATGAACACGTATATGTATGTGTATTTGTGTTTGTTTTCAATTTTAATATGGTGAGGTGTAAAACACGTTATAATAAGGAAAATATTTATAAAGAAGAGGTGAAATTTCTTATACCGTATACACAAAGTGATAATTAATAATTATTCAAAAATAAATACGTACCACAAATATAAGAAAATTATATTGAAGTATACAAGGAATATACAAGGTTATAAGGTGATTTATTTTTAAAAGAAAAACTAAAAGCAAGAAGGTTAAAAATGTTATACAAATAAGCAAATGTCAATTTTAATGAAAACAACCATTACTCTTATTATACCTGAAACAGAATACTGAACAGTTGTACATACTAATTATAAA